CAGGACAGGCGCAATCGAGTTGTGGGAACGCTGTGGTGCAACGCGAGGAACGCTTGTAAAAACCGGCCTTCAGTCACTGCCGCAACCATGAACTACACCGACACCATCTGTCTCTTCAGCAACTGACACGATAACAACAACGACAACAACAACGACAACAACAACACCAACTTAAACAACAACAACGTACGCTGTAGCTGACGGTGACTGCGGACACGTGTGCGCTCTCGTGCACCGCTGTGCATTTCGGGCGCGAAAGACAGAGCTCGCCCGTGGAGAACCCACGATGCCACGACACTTTCGTTGCGCGCGGACATGGGGGGGGGTGGAATAGTTTGATGCAATGAGGCGATGGCGAGCAACTTATAGCGACACACACACACACACACACATCACACCACACACACACACACACATACACACACTCACTCACTCACTCACTCACTCACTCACACACACACACACACACACACACACACAAACTCCACATCCCCCTCCCCCCTCCACCCATACATACACACACCTTTGCATGAGTCCATGTCCTGAAAGACGACGATGCCAACACCGTGCCTGTTGCCAATCGCAACAATACCGGCGTCAAACGCCGTGTACGTGCACGTGGCGTGATCAATGTGCCGCACACCCCCGTCCGGCGCAAAGCATGCGCAGCGAACAATGGCGCGCAGGTGGAAGCCAGGTCCCGCATTGTACGACTGCGGTCCTTGCTGCTCGTCACTGCTATCCTTTTGCGTCTTTGTTGTGTTCCCTTGCGCCTTGATGTCCTCCTCTCCAAGGGCGCGAACAGGCGATGACGATGTGCCGCCGCCGCTGCTCTCTTTCCCATCGTCACCATCAGCACCACCACCATCACCATCATCATCATCACCATCACCACCACCATCACCATCACCATCACTGCCACTGGTAGCGATTTTGTTCACAGCAGCACTGCCGCTGCCACTGTCCTTCTTGCCACTGTCCTTCTTGCCAGGTTCACTGCTCATGGACCCTTCGAGCTGTTGCGTCATGAGCGTGGACATGGCGACATTCACGTCGTTGTTTGCCGCCTCGAGCGCATTTAGAACGTGGTCGCGCGTAAACCCATACGCCATCAGCTTCCTGATGACCGGCTCGGGCATGGCGAGCTTCTTCTCCTCCCCTGATGTAGCAGTTCCTGTTGCTGTTGCTGTTGCGGCCGTCCTGGCTGCTGCTGCTGCTGTTGAAGTAGACGTCGTTGATGTCGATGACGCTGTGGACGAGGCGCGCTTCTTCTTCGTGGGCGAGTGCATTGCATCAGTGCTGCTGCTGCTTGCATCAACACCTTCAATCATCTTCACACCGCCACCGCCACTTGCTGTCATGGCAGCCATGGACGGGTCCTTGATGAGCATCGTCACGTCAACGCACTGCGGCGTCACGGTTGCGCGCGTGTGTGCGAGTGCGTATGCGAGCGCGTGTCCGCCCGCGTGTGTGACAATGAGCGACGACGCGTCTGATGACATGCACACGTCCGTCACGGGCAGCGCCTCTGTGTGTGTGTGTGTGTGTGTGTGTGTGTGTGTGTGTGTGTGTGTGTGTGTGTGTGTGTGTGTGTGTGTGTGTGTGTGTGTGTGTGTGTGGGAGTGGGTGTGGGTGGACAAATGCACATGCAAGTGAGTGCATGTGTGCGAGTTACAGTGACCATTCGCATCCACCTCATTTGCGCATTCACACAACACACACACCACACTGACAACAACACCAACAGCAGCATGTACACACATCCTACACACAGCAGAACACCGTACTCTTCGTGTTTAAAGTCGAGCGTGTGGATGAGAATGGGTGGGTCGGTCTCCCAGCGCCACGAGAACAATTTTGACGGATGACACAGCGTGATGAGCTCATGCTGCACACAAACACGCACATGCACATGGAATGCTGTGAGGTCGTTGGAGCGCTGCTGCAGCAGTCTCAAGTGGATGCATCACGCACACACACACACATAGACACACACGCACACACACGCACACGCACACACACACAGACATACACACAGACAGAGCACACACCTTCTCCGGGATAAAGACAATCTGGCGGACGTCCTCGGACTGCGGATGCGACCACTCGAGCTTGGCCCGATCCTGCCCATACCTGCAGCGCCCACCATCACACAAAACAGCGTGAGAGTACGTTCATTCAATACCAAATTAAAGAGGCAGCACACCAATGAAGATGTGCATGCACATGCACATGTGTGTGTGGTTGACTCACAGCACGACGGTGCCTTGTCGTGTGCCGATGGCGAGCAAGCCGTTGACAGTGTCAAACGCCATGGTCTGGGACCGCTGCGGCAACCCAAACGTGCTCTTCTGCAAGCAGCCACAGCGTCTATGCGTGAGCGCTGATGCATGCGGTATCACATCAAACAGCATCACACATCAACATCAACACCACATCAACACACCAACGCATCAACATCAACATCAACATCAACATCATCAACACACACCCTGAGCACGGTGTGGTTGGTGGGCTTGGACCGATGCGATCCTCCGCCACCGCCGCCGCCCCCCAGCACCCGAGACAGCCGCGCAAACATGGCTCACGCGCGTGGTGGCTGCCGCCTGTGCCGTGATGTGGCTGTTGATGCGGTAGTGTCGTGTGTGTGTGTGCGACTCTTCAACCAACCAGACAGCTTGCTTGCTTGCTTGCTTTCTGCTGTGTGTCTTGGCTGCTGTCTTGTCTTCGATTTCTGCTGACTCAGCACATTTCCTCAACTTGCACGACACACGACCACTACAGCACACAACCACTTGTCACTGCTGCAACTCAACAGAAGCACAAGCACCCCTTCACCCCTTCACAACAACAACCAGCGCACACGAGCACAACAAACATGTCGCTGCCCTGTGACGACTTTGCCGAGTTCAAGCGGCTCCTGCTGGAGATGCGGGACACGGACGACAAGATTATCTACAAGATGAACACCATCATCCCGACAAAGTCCAACGTCGACCACCTCGACGCCACCTCAAACTGCGCAGCCCTCTACCACGAGGTATGCGTTTGTGCGTGCGGTGTGTGTGTTTGCGGGTGCGCGCGTGTGCGTGTGTAAAAGCGTGTGTGTGTGTGTTTGCGGGTGCGTGTATGCGTTGTGTGTGCGTGCGGGTGCGCGTGTGCACAGACACGTGACTGTTCGTAGCTCACGCGACATTGTGCTGTGTGCAGTTGAACAGTGCGCACATGCAGCGGCGACAGAGCATGGAGCGCTGCTTGACACAGGTGCAGCAGGAGATTCGCGACCTCAAGACACAGCTGGTAAGTACATTGTGTGTGTACGTGCGTACCTGCTTGCATGCGAGTTCCGCCCTTTTCACCGCTATCCCCTGTCACTGCTTTGCCTTTGCGTCGCTCACGTTCCACGACATGTGCCACGCCACACCCGTTTGTGCAATGCAGAACGTCGGTGACAGGGACATGCGTGCAGAACAGGGCAAGGTAACAACACAACATGCGGTGCAAGGCGCTTCCCTTCTTCCACCTCCGCCTGTACTTGTTGCTCCACACACACACGAACTCACTGACTGACTGACTGACTCACACACACACACGCACACACATACACTCACACACGCATACACACACGCACACACACGCACACGCACACTCATACACACACGCATACGCACACAGGGCAAGACGAGCTTGGAGGGCCAGGCGCTGCGGGAGAAGCAGGCGTTGAGCCGTCAAATCCGGCGCGAACTCGTGGCCGAGGACATTCTGCAGGAGCAAACAAAGAAGGTGCGCAGCACAGCCACTCACCTGCTCACAGCATGCAAAAGTCTCCATGCGCTTGCCTCCCTGCACTCCCCCCAATACTCCCTCGCCTCCCTCGCCACAGTGCAAGGCACAACGTACAGCCTCACCACAACTACCCTTCAACCTCAACCCCCCTTTCCCTCACAGGTGTTCAAGGACAGGTGCGGGCGGTACTACAACCCAAAGGCACAGTAGGAATGACAACCGAATCACGGCCACACCGCACCCTCCCTCCGCCTCTATGCTGCCATCTCTCTCTCTCTCTCTCTCTCTTTCTTTTTCTTCCATGTAGGCTTGTTGCATCTGCCAACGACACGTGTGTCCACACGACTCAACCATACAACACCTTTCTCTTTTGACCGCTGCTTTCCATCATGTCTGTTCGTTCGTTCATTTGTTGTTTCCCGTCACCAATTAAACACCGGTTCATGTACTCGTCTCGCAACGACACCACATACACACGTACATGAGCGCAAGCTTGCGTGCACTGGTTGCCGTTCATTCGATTGGGTGGGGTGTTGGTTAACAAGGAAGGAAAGCAAGCAGTGTGGAAGGACGGGTGCGTGTGTGTCTGTGAAGTACGGTCGCAGCACGGTAGCAAGGCGCATACAGCCACACATACAGCCACACATACACACAGCCACACATACAGACAGCCACACATACAGCCACACATGCATACACAACACAGGCACACACACACACACACACAACAGAGGCACGTCTCAACCACGCAGCAGCCAGCAGCACGTGGAGGCCTTTAGAAGGAGTTGACAGGGTCCTCGGCGGTCTTGCCAAGCTGCACCTCCTTGACCTCAAAGCTGACAGGGGGCAGGGAGCGGAACACCTTGGCGTGCAGGTGCGAGTCGCCAACGTTCACCTTGATGAAAAAGTGGGTGCCAGCAACAACCTGCGTGTACATGTGTGTGCGTGTGTGTGTGTAAATGTGTGTGTGTGTGTGTGTGCGTGCGTGCGTGTGTGTGCGTGCAAGTCACTGTGAGCGCAAGACACTGAGCTGTTGTTCTGAATGCTGGCAAAACCAACTCCCAAACACACGCTGCTGGCATGCACGTCGTTCCCTGACCTGAGTGGCGTAGGAGACAGGCTCAAAGGTCTCAAACTGCTTGCCAGCCTTGGCCTCAATGTCACCGCGCACCTGCCAACGGAACAAGCAAACGTGTGTGTGTGTGTGTGTGTGTGTGTGTGTGTGTGTGTGTGTGTGCGTGCGTGCGTGTGTGAAACCACAGCCTGTAATGCGGTGCAAGCAAGCGAGCAAGCGAAGAACGAACAGCGCTCGTGTTTGCCGTTACCACCACACACGCACACACACACGCACACACACACACACCTGGGACACGACGCTGCGGAGCTCGTCATCGACGGGACGGGCCTGGCCAACACCACCAACCATGGTCGACATTGTTGTTCTGGGTCTTGAAGTGGAGTTGAAGTTGAAGGGGAGGAAGAAGCGACAAACGTAGCGGATGACTGGATGTGCAAAATAAGCCTGAAAAAGAATGGTCAAAGGGCGAAGATGTTCGTGAGGGAGCGAGTGCGATATCAGTGCGTGTCTGAAAGCAATGATGCAGTGTTGATGATTGTGTAAATGAACCAGGCAACACACAACCACAACCACAACCGCAACAACAACTGCAACCACAACAACAACCACAGGTGTGATCACAAGTCCAAGACATAAACACTGCCACTGGCTCGATCGTCGACAGCGGCGATGATGACGCACCGATTCGTGAAAATGAACCATTTCCTCCATTTTAGCATAATAAGCTGAATTCAGTTCTATCATAACAAGTACTGAATTCAGGCGCAGTGGGGGGAAACGGCGGCGATGGAGGACGATGACGACCTGCTGGCGGAGCTTGAGGCTGAGTTGGCAGACCTCGGCGATGATGATGATGGTGGTGAAGACGATAACGATGAACACGTTGGTGGTGACGCTGGTGGTGTAGATGAAGGGAAGGAGTTGGAAAGCCATGCGGAGGAAGGCAAAAGGGCTGGAAACAGCAACAACAGCACAGCGGGCAGAACAGCGGGCAGCAGTACCCAGTCCGGGTTGTCCACGGAGGACTTTGCAGCACTGCAGGTTCGAGCACAGAACGGATGTGCGAATGTGTCTGTGTATGTGTCTGTGTATGTGTTTGTGCGTGCAAATGTGTGTGTGTGTGTTTATGTGTGTATGTGTGTGTGTGTTAGTGTGTGTGTGTGTTAGTGTGTTGAGATCTGTGCTCGTACGTGCACTGTCCCTGACACTGCTTTCGTTTTGTTTCCCTCAACACTTGCAATGGTTTGCACAGGCACAGCTTGTGGAGCTCAAGACTCAGCTGTACGATTCGCAAGGGCGAGAGAAGGCACTGCGAAAGAAGGTGCATTGTGCGTGTTTGCCTCGATGTTTCCCTTCTTACTCCTCTGCACCTTACCCCCCCCCGGCCCTTGTGTTGCTGGTGCGTTCCCTATCGACTGTTGTCCCATCCAACTCATTCCCACCATGCACACGCTCGCGACACAGTACAAAGCGCTGAGCAAAGCGACTGCGGCCTCGAGCGGCGGCGGGTCAAGCGGATCCACATCATCGCGGTCCGCAGCAAAGAAGTTCTTCAGCGGTGCGTGGCGTGCTTCTCATGCGCGCGACTCAGTCGCACACACAAGCACACACACACACATACACACCCTCATGCACTGGTTGAATGCTCTTGTAGATGTGTTCAAGCGAAACAAAGGCGACACACAGCAGCAATCAGAACAACAGCAAGAACAGCAAGAACAACAACAACAGGACAGGAGCGATGACTCTGCCAAAGATGGCAGGCAGCGGTCATCATCATCAGCGAAGAAGGCAAAGCAGCAGCACGACGACACGCTCGTCCGGCAGGTGAGGGGAGGAGGGGTGGGTGATTGGATGTGAGGTGAGAATTGTGGGTGATGAAAGCGTACGTTGATCCCGCCATTTACACGCACACACACACACGCACATGCTCACACGCTCACGCACATACACACACGCACGCCCACGCGGCTGCAGACGGCTGAGATTAAGGAGTTGAAGCAGACAATCTCCAACTTGGAGGCTGAAATAGCGCTCCACCGCGAAACAAAGGACGAGGTGGGACGTGTGTGTGTGTGTGTGTGTGTGTGTGTGAGTGTGTGTGTGTGTACGTGTGTGTGTGTAAGGTTGCGATTTGATTAATTTCTGATGCGTACGCGCCACTTTTCTGCTCCCATTCCATCACACATCACCTCCATTCCAACACCGTCACATCTCACCGCCACCACCACGTGTGCACGTGTGCACGTGTGCAGCTGTCGCGAACGGTGCGGGCGTCGCAGCTCGATCTTGAGGACCAGCGCAATCTGTTCAAGAAGAGCATGGCCGAGGTGTCCCAGCGCAACACCAACCTTGCATCCCAGCTCCGCGTGGTGCAGATGGACAAGCAGTCGCTCGCCAAGCAGTTCAATGCCGTGCGCAAGGAGAGGGACGACTTGAAGCTACAGCGTGAGTTGAGAAGAGGGCAATTGATGGTGGAGATGAAACGTGGATGTGACGTGTGCGTGTCCGTGTCCGTGTGTGTGTGTGTGTGCTTGTGTGCTTGTGTGCTTGTGTCTGTGTGTGTGTGTGTGTGTGTGTCTGTGTGTGTGGTGATGACGATTCGCGTCTGCGTGAGGCTGATACCTGCATTTTCCGTTACTCCAGCATCTCACCCCATCCATGTCACCCAAACCCCTTGCGCTCGTTTCGCGTCAGTTGATGCTGCACTCGCTGCACGCGCGGACAAGAACGAGCACCAACACGACGACGACGATGGTGATGAAGGAAGCCAGAGCGTGGCTGATGGCGGTGGTGAAACACAGAAGGAACAACAACAACAGCCGCAGCAGCAGCAGCAGGAGAAGGAGAATGATGATGGTGGTGAAAGTGATGGTGGCAGTGGTGAGAAGGAAGAGAATGAGGAGATGGAAGGTGATGATGGGATGAATGAGGACGGAGAAGCAGTGCGCACACGCGATAGAGACGAGAATGATGCCGAGGCGATGGTGTCACAACAGGAACAGAAGCACGACAGCCACGACACCAAGCAGCAGCAGGAGGACGAGGAGGGCAGAGGGGAAGACGAAGTGAGTGGAAGCGAAAGCAGAGGCGATCGTGATGGTGGCAGTGATGACGGCGTTGAAAAGTTGAGGGCGGAACTGGAAGCGCTGCAGGCAAAACTCTTTGCAGCCGAAGACGAGGTGGGAGGAGGGGGTTGCAGTGGTGTATGTGTGTGTGTGTGTGTTTGCTTGTGTGTAAACGTGTGTGGAAACGCAAATAGCAAGAGTGTATCTTGTGTGCTTTCCGTCCACGCTCACCACCGCCACCACCATTATCATCACCATCATCATTCTCGCGGCCATCAGGCGCGCACACTGCGGGACGAGGCTGCAGCGACCAAATGCGAACTGGAACGCGTGCAGAGGGAACTCAAGGTGGTGAACACCGCTGTGGCGGGAAGGGGGGTGATGGCGGGACTATGTTTGTGGTGTCTTGTGCCCTTGTCACTCACACGCGTAGACATACCCACCCACATCACACTTGACCATCCCTCACACACACACACACACACACACACACACACACACACACACACACACACACACACACACACACACACACACAC